GAGTGCGCGGGCGGGAGCCCAGGAACCGGCCAGTGTCTGGCCAAGGCTGTTCCAGGTTGACACCTGAGCTGCTGGAGCACCTTGCTATGGTTGAGTAAAAGCCGTAAAGCGCTTGGGTTGTTAGCAGATGGCTTTGGAAAAGGCATATATTTTGCTGTACTAAGAATTCAGTAAATATTTTTGTCATTGATTCGGGGTTTATTATTTATTCCACATTGTTTTTTTCTCTCTTCCTCTCAGAGAATGTGGGCGTGTGCTTTGCTGAGGAGGTTTTTCCTTGTGAAGAGAATGGGAACCTTGAATCAAATTAACCTATTTTTAATGTGAAGTTTTAGACCCTTACTTGAAGGTGAAAATGCCGTGATGTTACATTAGCTTTAAAAGATAATTCATGCAAATAGTAACTTATAATTGTAAATGTAAATGAGATTTTCTTTACACTTATTTCTTATTACCTTCAGCACATCAGGTCCACCCATTTGGCCAGGAAGCACCTTCTTCAAGAGAAATGGAGCCCTTCTGCAAGGTAGGTGATGGATACTGCATCTTGGAGTAACTGATCTGCTTAACAAATACCTCTTGCAAATTGCACAGCTTTTGCAATATTCACTGGGCAAGAAGTAACCAAATGTTTTTTGTTTCCTTTAACCTGTCTCCTTTATTGCGCATCCGGTGCCTTGAAAATGGTGATTTACTACATGTAGTCTATGAAAGTTACTGCTTTTTTTCTTTCCTCAGATGATTAATTTGCTTACTGTAAAATACAGTAATGGGTGGCTTTTTTTCTTCTTCTTTTTGTGTGGATAAGGAGTACCCACAAGGAAATGTTCCAGGAACACCGCTTTTAGCTCTGTGGATGAAGCAAGGTTGTTCTTTGAGGGAGATCCTTTCTTTTACTCCCTAACTGTGCTGATAGCAAAATGTACCCAAAGGTAGGTAGCAGTGTTGTAGTGAGGAAACAGTGGCAGAGTATTTGTCTCAAGAAACCTACCATATTCAAGGGTGCTTACACTGACAAAGGAATGTTCAATATCTTATTTCCATTGGATGGACAATATAAACAGATGCTATATGACTGCAGTTTTGATAGGTGAAGATTTTCAGTCTGTCTTAACAAACTTTTTAAAATCATTATTCACTGTTAAGTGTGTTTATGTTTCTGCCATTGAATACATAGAACTACCATCACTCTTAATGGAAGTGTCTTGGGAATGCAGAAAGCTGGTTCCCCAGGCTGCATGCATTTGTCTGTGGTGCAAAAGTAACTTACACCATTTAGGATGATTTTACGGTCTTTGCAAGTGTTTTTCCGTGAAGTGTCTCAGTTTTGTGTTCATTCTCATGGTGCCAAGAGTTCTCTGGCCTTCTTTCTGGCAGAAAATGCTGTATAATGTTCTCTGGAGCATTTGTCTAAATCACTTGGGATGGAGCCTTACTCACAACTAGGTTCACGAGCAAATAATTGGCAGGCAGTACTGCTCACCTTTCACACACCAAAGTAATCCAGCATCTGTAGTTTACCCGAGAATATTTTTCAACTGATTTCTTCTTGCACGTATCTAGGAATTTGCATCATTCTGTTATGTAATATCTACGCTGAGATTTGTTCAAACAAATTTAAATACATTAAAGCATTCAGGTTATTTGTTAACGCTAGGAGACGGTACAAATTTGTAGAGTTTGGCAGCTTTTGGCTTTAGTCTTGATAGGATAGATCTGCTACCTTTGCAGTCCTTCCCAGTGGAAGGAACTGGATTTTAATTTTTGTGTGTGTGTGTGTGTAAGGAAAAAAAGAAACTGGTGTGTATGGACATGCTTGATTCATTTTCAGTTGTTCAACAATTGCGGTTTTAAATACGTACCTGCTCATATACAGTCTTAGTAATTTGAGTTCATGAAATGTAAACTGCGCTGTCAAGCGTATATGGCACAAACGCTTTACCTCTTCTTATGACGCAAGATATCTAGAATTAAGAACAACTGTTTTGTAGTCCTTCCTGTCTCAGTTCTTGCTTAAAGCCTTCTCCAATAGAGTATGCTGTTCTCCACTCTTCTCCTCTGCCTTCCTCTCCCTTCCAGATTGAGAAAAAAACCCTAAAAGTCCAAAACATTTCAGCATATTAAAGAAATTGAGAAAAAGGGAGAGATGACTGCCTTTTCAAGGAACTAACAAAGCCTAACAGACCTTTAACTGAGCTGGCATTCTACGTTGCCATTTCAAGTGGAAAACCCAGCCAATTTGAACTCTAATGTGCATGATACGACTGAGGTTGGAAGGATGAGAGAGCGTGAAGAAAAACCTCATTAAAGTAATCTTTTAACACTTTCTGGTTTTAATTTTGAAACAAGAAAATAACCAAGCCTTCCTTCCTTCCTTCCTTCCTTCCTTCCTTCCTTCCTTCCTTCCTTCCTTCCTTCCTTCCTTCCTTCCTTCCTACCTTCCTGCCTTCCTGCCTTCCTGCCTCCCTCCCTCCCTCCCTTCCTGCCTTCCTGCCTTCCTGCCTTCCTCCCTCCCTCCCTCCCTCCCTCCCTTCCTCCCTCCCATCCTTCCTCCCTTCCTCCCTTCCTCCCTTCCTCCCTTCCTCCCTTCCTTCCTCCCTTCCTTCTGTATGCAAACAGGAGAATGAACAATTGATGCAATTATCCATTTCAAGTTATAGTACTGCCTTTTGATTGGCAAAAGTTTAGGTAACAAAGGGATTTAAAATTACTGTAACTTGATAAATGTTTTGCTACATTTGAACAGAATGTTCAGGGCATGTTGTAGACAATAATACAGAATAATTCTGAAATTTTGGTAAATGTGATATTCAATGTGCATTTGTCACACCTCATTTCTTCTGAGTTGTTAAAGAAAATGTTCTTTTTCTGGTCTGGGGAATGAAGAGAAAAAATTCCGCAATGTAAGTTGTACTGTTTTTTAGCCAAAGAAAGACATGTAGATGCTCCTGGTTTCCATTCATTTTATACCTGCACTATTTGGAAAAATAATCTTAACCATTGTAAATCAGTTAACATATCTCTCTAGAGAAAGTGACTGAGAAACCAGTTATCTGTGTACCTTAAAACAGCGAACAAAGAGACAGGGAAACTGAATTCATTGTAGCTGTTCTGTGTCCTTAATGTCTTTGACATGAGCAGGATTAATTCTCTCGTCCTTTCTGACTGTCTTTGCTTGTGCTTTGTTGAAGAATTGTGAACAAAATAAGTATATGCTGTTTTCGCCTATCATTTGATTAGATACGAGTTGACTGCCTCAGTTTCTTTTTTGAGGATCATGGTACTGTTGATCCTGGCATTAACTCTGTAATCAAAACAAAAACAATAACTTTACTTTCTGTGTTGAGTAAGTCATGTGTTCAGGTGCTTTTTGAAACGTTGAGCTCCTTCTACTAGGTGAGGATTGCTCCTTATGTTCTGGTACTCTCTGGTCTTCTCATGAAGTCCCATGCAATGCTTAATATAGGTAGGACCTTCAGCCTTACCGGACTCTGATACGTTCTGTCAAAACTTGCTTATATGTTCGTGGAGATTGCTGTGTTCTAGCCTTCAGCATTGCCAGATAAAACAGGTTTTTGCGCTTACTGCTTTACTTTTTCTATCAGTTTTTGTAGCTTGTTGTTGTACATACTGTGTTTTTGTTTCAAATCACGACTTAATTTTTTTAAACCTGCTGTATGGAGAGCCTTCGTTCCCACTTTTTTTTTCTGTTCTTAGCTTTCATAACACATCCATTTTTATTTAATAACGTGTATGGCAGGAAAAAGTCTTTACAGTGGAAAATATTTAGGCGTGTTCTAAACTCTTCCAGAACTTGTGCTGAGTGAGATAGGTAGGGACATAATCACATTAACTGTAAGATCTTGAAACTAATGCATCATGTTCAGATAGGCTCAGTTTCGTTGCCTCTGCTCTGGGCTTGAGTATTAAGCTCATGGTTACAGACTTGAGGATGCATTTGCATGCAGATCAATGGTAGTAGTAAACCTATTTTGCTCACAATATGTCTAACATTCTCCCTGAACAAATTAAAAACACATCTTCAAATCAACTTTTAGCAGTAGTCATCTAAATTCCAGCTGCTGAGTGCCACCTGTAAGATGTAAGTGGACTGAGGAGGGTCTGGTTTTGTGTTGTAAAGATACAGCTTTCATTTTGAGGAAAAAAAATACCAAACTTACCACTCTCTTTTCGTCTTATTTGCCCTCACACTTTAACAAACTAAATGCAACATACTACTGTGTCTGCTTCTGTCGAATTTGTTCTGTCCTGAGTTGCGAGGAAGCGTACATGAAGGGTGCTTGTGGGTGTAATCACAGCTGGCACAGAAACAGAGTGCTGTACATTGAAAACAGTGATCTGTGTCTGCTGTTGCTGCTGCAGTGGGGATTGAAACCAGAGTGCAAGAACTGCGGTAGTTGCCCCGTGACTGGGCAGCGGCTGGCATAAAGCAATGCCTCCTGTCTGGTTTACGGCAAGTATGTCTGCTAGGCTGAACGCCATTCTTGGGTGAGGTTCCTGAGTTCCTCGTCAAAGCCTGGCAGAAGCAGGCCCCTGTGGTAGCACGCTAGTGACTCTTCATCATCCGGGGAAGGAAAGTGAACCTGGGTTATCCAGTCCCTGTTGCTGTTGGAGCTGAAAACAGAGGTGGCCCTCATCACTGTGACTAGATGTTCCTCCTTGGATTGCTGCTTCCAGCAGTTCCTGACCAACTGGAGGTACAGTCATGATCCCTGCCATGTTGTCTGCTTTCTTGCATGAGCAAGGTCCTCCACTTCATCTTCTGATGATCACTACAGTTTAAATCTGCTGCCTGTTAAATCAAAGATACGAATTTGAGCTCCAGAGATCCTTCAGACTCTGACTTACACCTGTGAACAGGATTGCAGCAGTCAGTGAACTGTATTCAGACTGCATGGGTTTCCTTTGAAGCCACGTTTCTCTTTTAATTAGGATGGAGAACAAGATTGGCAAAAATCCTTTCCCATTCGCAGAACACAGGAGGGGAGGAGTGAGGAGTCGCATGTGGCCTCTGGTCCCTCTTGTCTGAGTGAGCCTGAGAAGGGAGAGATTGTCTTCCCCAGACCTCACGAGCTGCTTTGTTCCCTCTCTACCATCGACTGCAGGGAACCAGCATCCTTGTGCTCCAGAACAGCACAAGTGGTAGGATGCTTACATGGGCATGGCTGGGCTGCTTCTCTGGGCAGCCACTGTATGAGACACTTTCATCTCTGATTGATTGATGCTTCCAGCAGACTATGTATCATCTGCCTTGGTCTAGCCACCATGGCTGTAGCTGGCACCGCCTGTGAGGAGCTCTGGCAGGAAAGAGTTGGAAGACACTGTCTTCACAGGGTCAGGTATCATCAAAACCAGCGTGAGACAGTGACTCTGGAGTTTGTTGCAGAGCAGAAATGGAAACTCTGGGCACTGCTGCTGCAGGCAAGATGATGCCCTCAATCTAAGATGGTGGCTTTCACGTTTTAGTGTGCTGACATCCGATATCTGACCATACAAGGAGACATT